GGACAGTTCGATCTTATCAAATTGTCGCTGTATCAAATTGTCCAAAGAGGCTATAATATAACATCGGGCAAGAGAATTTGTCTTCTTCCATTCTTGACTCTTTCTTCCGTGCCCTAGAAGCCCAGTCACCCGGACGTTCCGGTGCAGTTTGTTTGGCTACCTTGTCCAATTTCTTGGATATCAACACCAGCATAAGGTTACGGAATCAGTTAGCGCAATTTGGGACCTTAAACTTATTATCATACAATAGTTTGGCGAATTGTCCATTTGCCATTTCTGATAAAAGGCAATGCAAATTATTAGTCCACAACCTAAATTGATTCATGTTATTTACATAGAAAAGGCTTTTAATCTATATTCCATTTCCATTTCTTAATCTCTGAGACTTTCCTCCCATTTCAGTGACAGAGACGCGATTATGTCTCTGGAAATTTGGGAAATCACATATGGTGCATGGAGTTAACTGTTTCAGCTGCATAACCTCACCACTTTCTATGAATGATCATATCCACTCATCTTATGAACTTTCTCTTTGGCCTCTGTCAAACAAAGTTCATTGCTATTTTAGATTAAACATTTCTGTTTAGTAAGTGCGGACCCATCATATTCGTGAATGCCAAGGTACTATGAGAGAGTTCTATTTTATGATAGGCCCCTCCCACATCGGTTTATGATGCCCCAATCGTATTATGAAGCAATCAAACAGACTCACCAGCAAATGGATAGCCCAATTATATGGTGCATCTCCCTATTACTAATAAACCCATTCTCATGTTAATGACGGAAGGCCTTTAGAGAGTTCATCATATGAATCTCTCTATCACATGCACTTATATAAATCTAGAGGGAACAAGTTGTTACATCCCTATATCTGATTTAAGTCAAACCAAAGTGACTCCCACTGACTTTCTTAAAGTCAGATTCAAATGGCCACAAAACGGCTAGGATTCCGCACGGTTCCTCTTATGCGTAGAGAACCACTAACGAATGAACATGGTCTAAGTGTTTATGGCTCATGTATGTAGTACATCACACATCATACATCACATGCATGAAACTATCACATAATTTATCAAATCAATTAAATCAACTGTAAAACCCTAAATTAATTAAGTTAAATCAATATCAACCCATTAAATCCCATAATATTATCATATAACATTATCTAGGTATATGGGCCAAATTGCTTTTTGCATTTCGGCTCATATAGCATTTATGCTGAAAAATGGGCTAATGCAGTTTTAACTCATCAAAACTGAGTTTTATAGGATGGGCCAAATTGCATCTTGTAATGGGCTATCAAACCCCTGGCCCAAATCAGAATTTAGGGCTGAGAACAGACCCCTATTGAATCATAGGTTCGGTCCAACCAATTTGGACCAATCATGGGTCAAACCGGCCTAAGGTTTGGTGTCCATTACTAGATCCAATTCAAAATTGTGATCTGAAATTAATTACAGTCGATTAAAGACAATCAAGAATCAGCAAGAAAACATACCAGAGGGTTGTACGTGTGATTTCAAACCTACAAAACAAAGGGGATTGTAAATAGTGAAATCGATATATGCAAATCGCAGATTGCAATTTCTCAAACTGCAAAAGGTCTTCTCTTCTTCCACACGTTACAGCAAGTCTTCAGATGTAAAAAAAAAAGAAAAACCTAATTTTCTATTAATTACATCACATCAAATCCTATACATTTTGTCTAAAAATTAAAAACAATTATTTACATGCCAAAATGAATAGAATGAAAAATTATAGGGTGCGCAAATCTTGCCACGTTTAAAGAATTCGATCTCCTTCACACAACAACCCAAGAATCCAAGAAACAATTATAGAACCATTCCATAATCAATAAAGAATAATAAATAATTAATTTCATATCTATACACCAAAAAATTGGAAACCAATTCCCAGAAAACTGCAAACTTGCGCAAATCGGGTAGAATAATTTCTGCCCATTTGTGCAAAAATAGATCTGGTCTAGATTTGGTTTAAGACTTCAACTTGGCTCTGATACCACTAATGGGAAGAAGGATCCATCATATGGATGGTCGAACCATGAAGGGTGGCTGGGCGAAATTTCAAAAAAAAATTATTTCTCCATTCTGAGAATCCTATTCCTTGATTTAGAAAAACTATATTTTTCAATGTTCGTTTTTGAAACAAACTGGACCAAATCTGAAACCAATATTAAGAGAGGGATATACCTGATACGGAATCAATAGTAATTCCCAACATAGGTATTCACGCCCAAAGATTTCACCGAATCCTTCCTCCACTGGAGATGACACAACTTAGGGTGAGGCAAGATCAACAAAGAGATTCTTCAACAAGAACCCCAATTCTTCAACAAAAATCACGCAGGGATGTGAGCACAAATTCAAGACTCTTTCTTCTAGCAAGAAACAATATCAAGATCCAATCTTGACCACTCAAGAAATAGAAATCGAACCAGGTAAGGTGGCAAGAACAGAGAGAAGATCTGAGATTTGCAAAAGTGTTTAACAGAATGATTTCTCCCTCTATTTATAATCCTTCTTGGATCAGCTTCCTAATCATATCAGGAAAATGTTCTTTGATCCAAATCTTTATTTGGATTAGAACTCCTAAATGGATAAAACATATCTTATCCTCTTGCTAATCTAGAAGCAGATCTA